AAAGCTGGGCAATGAACAAGGATGATAGAATTATTGATGCCTCTGAACTGTGGTAGAGAAGGGTGAAGATCCTACGGACTGCTAAAAGAACAAACAGATATGTCTTAAAAGGTGCAGCCAGAGTGCTCCTTGAAAGTAAAGATGATGGAGCTGCATCTCACATATTTTGGACATGTTGCTAGGAGAGGTTATTCCTTGGGGAGGGATATCATGCTAGGGAAGGTGGGGGGCCCTCGATTAGGTGGGCTGACACAGAGACTGCGGCAATGGACTTGAGCATGTCAGAGATTGTGAATATGGCATAGGATAGGACAATGGTCAGAATGGTTGTTCATAGGGTCGCTATGAGTTGTATTCGCCTTGACACCACTTAAAACAACTACCACCACAATGGTGTGTAACCACAAGAAACACAGCAGCAACTGTAATAATCTTCCTATATGATACCATTTCTTTCTATCTAAATGGTACAAGTTTTACAAGTGTTGACAAGCTTTACAAGTTTCTGCTATTGGTATAAAACTTATCCATAAATATTTGAGAAGAAATTCCAAAGTCAAGTAAAATATTTCGGTATGATCCAAAAGCCCAATGAATATTAGCAATTTTATAGAGAAGAGACAACAAAAGAGATGATTTGTAATATCAGACTATTAGTTACAACTTACCTACTACTTCATCATCTGGCTGAAAGAATGATACCTTGCTTCCAACTAAAGAATAGAAAGAATTAAGAATTAATATTATGAAATTCCTCAGTATAATTCTTATTTAACTATTAAAGTAAATAAAAAGATTTTGTTGTTATTAGGTGCCATCAAGTACAGTACGACTCATAGCGACCTTATGAACAGTGAGTTTGAACCCCATCCTATCTTGTACCATCCTCACACTTTCTGACACACTAGAAACCGTTGTGGCAGTCACTGTACCACTGTCAATCCACCTCGTCGAGGGTCTTCCCAGTCCAGAGAAAAAAAAATCAAGATCTTCAAGGATAGGTGATGGTCAAGAAGGATTATAGCATATTTTCCCTGTGGTTGGTGATACTACATGGAGAAGGGTGTCTCCCTCTGTGACTCCTGTGCTTATTTAATCAATCTTAAGGATGCAGGAATAAAAGAAAATATATTCTATAATTCTACCATATTTGAGGGGAGCTCTGGCAGTGTAAGCTGTAGAGAGGTGTGTTAACCCAAAGAAGTGCCTCTCTGGCTATTTGAATCCACTAGTAGCTCTGAGGAAGAAAGCCTCACAAACCCAGTGGAGGACCAGCTATGAGTTGGTTCCAACAGCGTGACAATGAGCGGGCGGTGATATGCAACATTACTCCCATGGCAAGCATAATCTATCACACACTGGTTGTAGAATTTCACAGGTACAGAGCGGAATGCTGGTTGAGACTCACCTCTAAACTAAGTTTAATTTGAGAAATTACATAAATTCAGGATAGGTATTAAGAATAATTTTGCAAGTAAAAAAAAAAGAATAATTTTGCAAGTATATAGAAATAAAGTATTTCAGTTTTCTCTAAACATGTAAAAAACAAGTTTCCATTATCTGTCAATTCATTTGAATATTCTGGTTCAAATAGTTACAATGAGGAAAGGGGAAAATAAAACAGATTGAAAAAAAAAACCAAACACCTCACTTATTACTGAATGGCTCCTGGTGGCCAACATTTAATTTTCATGACATATCCGTAAGTAGGTATTATTCTATTTAAGAAACAAACGGAAATAAGGCAGGGAAACAATGTGAATCCCGAAATATAGACAGCCTCTGGGGCTGGCTCTGTTAACAAAATGGCTTAGGACTCAATAGGTGGCCCTCAGCAAGACTGACATTCTCCTGTTGTTGTTTGGGTGTATCATCATTCTCAACAGTTCTGATCCAGTGTACTATGTTCCTTCTGCTGCTTATCCTAGTCTTCTAAGACAGACTTTTCTGGAGCTTTTTCCTTAGATTCCTCTTAACTGTCTCTTGAATAATTGCATATCCAAGTGTTTCACACTGTATTTACATTTCTAAGATCCTCTCTTACTATTCCAAATATACCTATATGCTGATAACTCTCAAATATTTAAGTTTTCAGCACAGATCTCACTCTTAAGCTTAAATCTGTATATAATTAATTATCCGAAATGTCACTTTTTTTTTTCATTCATTCATTGTGGCACATTTTACTCCCTTACTTCTCCTTCCTCCAGTTCATGTTCTTTGGTTTGTTTTTTAAATTTTAATGAAAGTTTATAAAGAATTTGGATTTCCATTCATTCATTGTTGCATATTTTCCTCCCTGTCTCCCCTCCTCTCAAGTTTGCTTTTTTCTTGGGGAAAAAAGTTCTTTCATTGTTATACAGTCGTCCTTCCCCGCCTCCCCAACCCTGACCACTTCACTATGCAGCTCTTATTCTGGATTCTTGTCATGATGGTAATATCTGATCATATATTCCTTTTATACAGTTCTCACCTTTGTCTGTTTCAATTCCATGTACATTATTTATCTCCTCTCATCTCAGTTTCCCCCAAGTCCCTATATCAGTCCTATTCTATAACAGTAGCATTATGCAGTATTTGTCTTTTCGTGACTGAGATATTTCTACTCAGCATAATGTCCTCCAGGGTCACCCATTTTGCTTAATATTTCATGAGTTCCTTGTTTTTCAGTGTTGCATAATATTCCATTGTATGAATATACCACAGCTTCTCTATCCATTTGTTTGTTGATGGACACTTGGGTTGTTTCCAACTCTTTGCTACTGTGAACAAAGCTTCAATAAACATGGGTGTGCATCTAGCTGCTTGGGTGTCAGTTGCGGTCTCTTTGGGTTATATTCCCAGTAGTGGAATTGCTGGGTCAAATAGTATTTCTGTTTTCAACTTTTTGAGAAAGCGCCATACTGCCTTCCATAGTGGTAGCACCATTTTACACTTCCACCAATAGTGAATTAGTGTTCCAATCTCTCCACAATCTCACTGACATTTGTTGCTTGCTGCTTTACTCAATTTTGCTATTGTTACTGGGTGTGATGTTATCTCACAGTAGTTGAAATTTCACTCAATTCTTAAACAAAACATGTAAGCTTACCATCTTCTTCTAAACTGTGTCTGCCTTCCTGTATCATTTGGTCTTTCATTGCTGTCTAGTCAAATATGTTCATAGCTGACCTTTCAGCACACTTTCAGACAGGAAAGCACATAGAAAGAGATTATCCATCTTCCTTTTCAGAGTGGTGGGTAGATTTGAACCATCAGAAGAATGTGGCCTGTGAGTTAGCAGTGTGACTCCCTACATCACCAGAGCGCCTTCTGTCGTGCTATTATGAGAACTCACTAATACCTTAAACAGAATTCTGGGTTTTTCCTTGGTTGCTTGAGGTTCCCCACCCTCCCCTTTTCAGAAGTTCTCCAGTGTCAGTTATGTCCTGTTGACTTTAATTCTTCACTGATTCTTGAATCTGTCCTGTCTCTCCATCTCTGACACTATTATCTCTTGACTATAGATCAACAAACCAATCAGTCCTCTTATCAACAGTCTTGTCTGTGGCAAACCAACTCTTCATATGGCCACTCTAATAATGTCCTTAAAGCCTGATCTAATGCAGGTATTTCTGTACTTAAACATCTAAGTGTCTCTATCAACTTTAAGAAGAAGTCCAAGTAATGGGCATCACTCATTTTTTGAGGCAGAGATATAATTTTTATATTATCCTGCAGAGGTACTTTCCCATAGTATCCTTTATTCTCATAACTGATAAGAGTTTTTTTTTACAAAATGTTTCTCTACTGTTAAGTATCTTGTTGGACCTACCACATCTGTCCCTGTGTAGAACTTTATCTGGCACCAGCAGTACTGAAATCTTTGTAATTCTTACATACATCACATTATTACTTGCTTCTTTGTCTGCTGAGTGTTTTCTTCACTACCCCTTACAGACTGGTTAACTTCCTAGAAAGAGTCTTTTCCTATTTCTTCTTGTGGTTTGGGTATCTCTCCATAACAACCTGTTAATACATTAGTAGACAATGAATCCCTTTTGGAGCAGGGGCTCTGTCTCATTTATCTAATATTCTAAGTACCAAGTAGTTCTAGTAATACAATCCAACAGGGATGTGCACAAATAACCCGAAGGCAGAGCTTCTCTGGCAGTTCAAATCTACCATTGGCTCCTAGGTAGAAAGATGAGCAATATCATTCTATACAAATCATTGCCTCCGAAACATAATGGAGGACAAAAACCAACTCAAGGTGGATCATGGACCTAGGACTAAAACCAAGGACTATAAAATTCATTACAGAAAAGCTAGGAACAACACTAGAAGTCCT